CATAAGGACATAATGTCAAAAAGATTAATAATACAAAATAATGATTAATACTTTTGAAAATTAGTAGTTCACTTTTACTAGTGTACTTAATACATGTAATAACTTTTATGGTTTTTGGCTTGCTTTTTTATCGAGAGGAAATAAACCATATGGAAATTGTATCAAATAAGAGGACAGTGATTAGATTTCAAAGATGCTACATTTTTCTGCTTTGCTTTCTTTTTTCTCTTTTTTTTCTTTCCTTTTTTGTCTTTCCATTTTTCTTTGAGGGGACAAAGAATGCTTTTGCTATGAGTGGAATTGACTTGGGATAGAGGAGAAATAGAATTGAATTTGTTTCAATGTATGATTATTCAGAAATAGACTTAGTTTGGGATTCCTAGAAGTTTCTTCAGAGATGAAGATTTTTTTTTTTTGTCTTTTTCATTTTTATCGGTACTGGGGATCGAACTCACGACCGCCTGCTTGCAAGGCAGGTGCTTATGCCGCTGAGCTAAACCCCTAGCCCTGAGATGAAGATTCTTGAGTAAGTGATTTGTCATTGAAGTATTTCAGGCAGAAATCAGTAGGGAAGCAAGACTGATAAAGGGTAAGAAAAAAGCACAAAGCAAGTTTGCAGTATCAAAGTCCTTCTGAGGGTAGCAAACCTCCCAAAGAAAGACTTCAGTAAGAGCAATTGGAGGCAAAAGGAGGCCTGCATGGGAAAAAAGCTGCTCAGAAAGGATAAATAAAGATTTGAAAGGATTTGGGCAGAGATTTGACTCTGTTATACAGTGTTTCATAGGAAGTTTTTCTTAGTAAAGCATTTCAAAGTAAAGACAGATTGTCTTGTATAATTATAAACAAAGAAATTGTTTTCAGTGTTTGAGAGCTAAGCTTAAATCAGTGGATTAGCCTTAGAGCTACAACAAAAATAAGAATTTGATCTTGAATATGGTGCAATTTGTGGCTGTCCAGGGACATAAAACAAAGAAAAGTCTGATAAATGAACCTGATACTGGAAGAATAAAAGGAGGAGGGGAAAAGGACACTGAAATATGTACATGTAGGAATCTTCTACAGTGAATATAAATAGTACGCACTGCAAACGTGTACTAATAAAAGTCAAGAAAGAAAGAAAGATCTGAATGAGCAAATGGGATTTTTTTTGGTACAAATAGATTAAAGAAACAAGAGTGAATTAATTATTAAGAATCTATGCCTAGGTAAACTATATTGGTAGATTAATTAGATTAAAAGGCATAATAAATGATCTAAATTAATAAACTTAGCTAAAGGATGATCTTCTTGGTAATTTGTTTTATATAAATTTGTATGATCCAAAAATTAAAATTAAAAGTAATAACATCAATGTTATCTAACTGTTCAACAAACTCAGCAATACATGGAAGAAATGGAAACAAGCTCAGAAAAATCATACATTAAGAAATGAAAGGATCTTGAGAGTGCCTGTTCAGAGGGTGTGGCAAAGGTGAACTATGTTTAACCAAGGAGATGTACTGACACCTGGCTACATGTGTCGTGATAAGTTAACACTAGATCATGGAAAACAAAATAATTAACACGAATTGTAGGCTTGATATTTTCCCCTACAACATATGCACTAAGGAGGATTACATTCATGGAGAAACAGTTTCAAAAGCATCTTGAGGAAGTTAGAGAAGGACCGCATGTCTTTCCTACATAGAATAATGTTGGGGAATAATAAATAATAACAGATGAAATGGATGCTGTGTCATGACTTGTTTACTTTGAAAAAAAAAATCTGAACATTTGTTTTATGGCAGTGTGCCATGACTGTTTCTAAATTACCTTGTGCTGTGTGACTAAACAATGCAGGCAAAATTCTGTAATTTAAATGTTTTATTCCAGTTTTGACATGATTTTTATGACAGAGATTTCTGTGTAAGAAGACTTTTAAAATTATTTATAATGTGAACTCTGGTTTTGCTTTTGGATTACCTTGTCTCATTAATTAAGAGGTTGAAGGCTCATTACTTCATGGCTGTCTTTACTGGATATGTAAACACAAACTTGTCATTACCAAGTCATATGCTATTTTTATCTTTCTGAAGATTTAGAGCTCACAGCCATCATTTAAATGAAACATTAAAGAAAAGAAAAAGAAATTTGGTCTACCACATTCTTAGCTATGTATTGAATAAATCTATTAGTATTCATTTCAATTTATTTTTCTTCATAATGGTCATAGTTCAGTAACATTTAAGTAAGTGCTACATGCTAGCTAATGTGATGCAGAACTATTCCTTAGGTTGCCAAATTTATCACCAAAAACAAACCCACTCCTCTTGTATACACATTACAAATTCAAATAACATTAGTTAGGTGTGACAGATATGTAACTTCTAGTTTCTGATCATTAGTTTTACTAATCATTAGTGTAGTTAATGAAAAATAAAATATTTATAATACTTAAAATATGAACAACTAAAATATGAGTAACCAGAAAGTCAACACCATTCTTAAAACCAGATTATCATTTCTAATATTGCTAGATTATTATATATTAATGTAGCCCTTTAATACATTTTATAAACATTTAAAATGATAAGGAAATAAAGGTTTCAATTCGAGTCTTGTGTGAATATTTCTTAAAGTCACATTTGAGCTTTGTTTCATCTATGTAATTTTATTTTTCTATTAGTCATGTCAGCTGCAACACGTAAGGATTACATTTGTCACAGGGTGCTGGTACATGTACATAACACATCTTAATTCTTTTCCATCCTCGCTCCTCCTTCCGACTCTGACCCCCTTTCCATTTTCAGCAGTTCTACTTTTGTTTCTTTATTAAATTTTCTTTATCCCTTTTTTCTCTCCTTCTCCTTCCCTACATCCCTTGTTCCCTTTCTTATTTAAAAGAGATCTCTCCGTCCAATTTTTCTGGTTATTTATATTTTATGTTCTTCATATAAGAGAAACTGCAATATTTAAGCTTGTGGATCTGATTGATTTCACTTAATATTATGACCTTAGGGTGCATCCATTTACCTATGAATGCCTTGCACGAACATTAAAAAGTTCCAAAACAATACTTACAAATATAATCCATTTTCTTTAACCAAAATGTTTTCAGACTTACTCTCCTGTAGTACTGCCTATGCAATATGTTATGCAGTTATTTATTTTTAATGATAAAATTTTTTTACTAAGATCATAGATTAAATATATAAATTATCAGTTATTTATAGTATAGCTTATCTCTAGAATCATTTTGTTTTAATGACATATTGATAATATAGGGATTCAACTTCAATTCTGCTACTGATAACTATATCAATAGATCTTAAGCAACTTATTGACATTTTTCTTTTATTGGTACCAGGGATCGAACTCACAACCGCCTACTTGCAAGGCAGGTGCTTATGCCGCTGAGCTAAATTCCCAGCCCCTTAAGCAACTTATATAACCTAAGCTTCAGTCCCACCATCTGTAAATCAAGGATCATAACATGTACCTTAAATCATTAGTTTAAGATTAAATAAAATAAGCAAAATAGAACTAATCAATTGACTGGGAATAATATGGTTTAAAAGATAATATGTAGATCATTTAGGTTGCCTTGAAAGAGTCCATGGTGGCTGATATGCCTGTCTTTAATATATGTTTTCTGTGGTTGTGTGAAGATACAGCTTAAAAGTGGGTACTAGTTTCTCACATCAGTCAATTCTAATTTGCTTATAAATTGCATATGTATTAGATCATATTCTGAAATATTGTGAGGTCTTTCTTCTATTTCCTTACATTATTTAAATTTTCCTAGTCATTTAGATAATAGCATATAACAGGCTAGGATGATGGCAGATAATACCAAGAAATAAGATTTCATTTCCTAGCTCTGAGCTTCATATCAAGACTTTTTATAATTCATGCTAGAAATAATTTTCTTGAAACCACAGCTCTGAAAGACTTGTTATTTTTAGAGCTAAAAATTTTTTTGAGTTCCTTAAAAAACCATAGAAAAGCATGAAAGATTTAGTTTATACCAGAAATTTTCAGAGTGGGGAGAATGAAGGATAGAATAACATGCCCCATAAATGATAGTCCAATACAGAGAGAACTAAATAAGACTAGAATAGGCTTTGTGATTGGGCAAGGAAGCTGATCACATTGACTAAAGAAAAAAGCTACAGGTGTCACACAGACAGAAAAGCCTGCACAAGACCAAGAAGAATAGATTGTGTTACTTCAGAGACCAGTGAAATCACAGAATGATACTTGAACCACAGTCCTGTGTTTGATGACAAAACAATTTAAGTCCTTCAGAAACTTAGACCACTTTAAGAAGAAAATGAGAAAAAAAGAATTAAAACTAAATGTTCATGATATAGCAGACAGGAGGCAGTAAGCAGCAAGCAGGCCTCCCTTCCCTCTCTCTCTTTATAAGTCCATCTAGGATATAAACCTATTGATTGACACCAATCACGCTCAAGGTGGGCCCTCTCATTATTACACCCAGAATTATGATAAGCCAATCAATAGAATAATTTAGTATCATACATTTTTAATCCCAATATCACATTCTAGATTCAGCCCGCTCTAAAAAGCTCCTCATGAACACATGAGGCTTTTAGGGGACATTTAGAAACAAGCCGTAACTATTTTGAATCCCATTATAAACTTTAAAAAGTTTAGATAACTAGATTTTTATTTAAAAAACCCCAGCTAACACTATAAAGTCTGAAAATATTAACATGCAAATTATATTAAAATATATTTATATAATCAGCATCTGGTTCTGCCTTGTCTCCAGTTGAGCATAGTGGATACTCTCCACAATCTGTAGGCTTAACAATTTTCACCTGTAGCTGTGTTTTTGTACCATGGACCAAAGCTGATTATGTTACAGGGTAAGCTATTTGCAGTATTAACCATAGTAAGCCATGCTAAGCCATGCTAAGACTATTAATGTCAGACATAATGAGATTATTAATATCAGATTTTATATCTAGTACACTCTTACTGAATCTCAGGCATATATAAAGGTAAGGAGAAAATGGGTTTGAAATATCTTTTTGATGTTTCTTTGAAATTAATCTTTCAAGTGGATGTTTAAAAACTGTACCTGTAATAATTAATATTTTGTTTTTGCTTCTAAATATTTGACTCAATGAAATCATGATAGGAAACACATTTATTTTAAAAAGGACAAGATAACATTTGATTTACTGGCCCTGAACAGAAGATAGATAGATAGATAGATAGATATATAGATAGATAGATAGATGATAGAGAAGTTAACACTTCGTTTAATATTTCATGCTTGTTTGATAATTTTAGGCACAGGATATGAATAAATAACTTATAGACAGAATTAACAATGCATTGCAACCCAAGAAAATGGTTGCTACCTTCTGGTTAAGAAACAAAACAGTGACATATCTAAGGCATTAAATATACAACATTATTGTGAATATTAATATTTATGCACTTCTATAAAGGTAGTTATAAAAAGGAAGCTCTTATAAAAGTTTGGGACAACCATTTTAATATCTCCATTTAAATCATTGAAAATTCAATTTTTTTCTATATTTTTATAGGGTAGTGAATACAGCATTATTATAAATGGGTATTTCAAATATAATATAGCTTATACACTTGAAATATTCAGAGACTGTTCCACTATTCCCCAGTAAGGATTGCTATTGTATTATTTAGTACTATTCCTCATAAGATTGGAAAAATACTTTCAGCAACAGATAACTGATTTTTAAGAGAAAAAATATCTGTCATTAATACAGTGGCTTGACAGTGATTGCTTGTTAAAAAACAAAAAAGATTTTCTTAATATTTTGTCCTATAATTTTGGTTGGCATGGCCTCCATTCACACTGCCCAATGGCAATGTTAATTTTTCATTCCTATAGATTTTCTTAATTCAGCTGCTGTTTTTTCCAGTTGTCGAATGTTCCACTGCCATTGTCTTCTATTTGACTGAAGCTTATTCACTTGACAATGCAAACGCTTCAGAATTGCATCATATCTCTTATACTGTACCTAACGAAAGAACAGAACACATTAATAGAGTATGTGAGGAGTAATTAGTAAACAGCCATAAAGGATATTTTCACTACTCAAAAGATTAAAAATTAATTTAAAATATTCATTGTAAATAATAAACAGGAATTATATAACTAACACTTATGACATAGTAGATGTGCTGAAAACTTTCTACATATAATTAAATTCTCACACTTTCTGATGTGGATACTTTTATCCTCAGTTTTTTAGAAAGAAATCAAAGGTGAAAAATTTGACCAATACCTAGGAGGTGATGAGTGATAATTATGTTTGAGATTTAAAGCCAAATGAAGCATCTATGATAGAATATCTTCTATTTATCAAGGCAAACACTTAGTGTTAAACTAAATTTGACCAGAGGCTGCCTCCTTACTTTTAATGGACTGCAATCTAACTTAGTATGTACACTAAGCTTAACTAGGTATAATGTTATTACAGACAGTTGAATCTTAGTCAATAACAGTAGCTGTGTTTCAGCTGATCATAGGCTGTCAAACCATCAGATCATGTTCAAATAAGTGAAAAGCTGAGCTATAAACAATGAAGCTGTTTCTGTATCTCACTTGCATTCCCTAAATGCTATCTGCTCACATTATGGAAAGGAGCTCTCTGAACCTTAGCTGATTCAGAGAAATGTAAGAAAAATGTTCTTCAGAAAAATGGCTCAGGGCTGGCGATTCAGCTCAGCAGCATAAGCGCCTGCCTGGCAAGCGTGAAGTCGTGAGTTCAATCCCCAGTACCGCAAAAAAAAAAAAAAAAAAAAAAAAAAAAAAAAAAAAAAGGCTCCATTTCTTATATTATCCACTGGTTCACTAAAACAGGCTCAAACATAGGTCTAAAAGATCTAAGAGCTAAGATAGTCTACTTCCCTGCCATTAAATAAATCAATATTTGTGCTGAATCAGACAGTATACTCCAAGGCAACAAACAAAATGGCAATTAAAAAACTTTTGGTGTCTTGCTACAAGAAAGTAAAAAGTCAAAATTCTTGATATTGGTATTGGATAAATAAGAACACTGCTCCTTCCTTGTTTTTTAAACTTTATGAAGATATATATTGTATATTAATCCACCATTAAAAGTGTACAATTCAATGACTGCAGAGTTGTGAAACTATCACAAATAATTTTATAATATTTACATTACCACTGAAAGAAACCTAATACCCATTAGCAGTTACCCCCTATTCCTTAACCTTCATCCTTAGTACTAGACAATGACAAATCTACTTTCTCTATATATTTGTTTGCCTGTTCTGGACATTTTATGAAAATGAATTTTTTTTGGTGGTTCTAGGGGTCAAACCTAAGCTTCAAATATGAACATGTTTTTAGGAGTCATCTCTGCCGCAGCATGTTTCAATACTTCATAATTTCTATTGTCAAATAACCAGCCTTACAATGCACCACATTTTATTCATTCAATTTATTTGCTGATAAAAATTTGAGTTGTTACCACTTTTTAATTATTATTAAGCAACCTGCTATGAATATTCATGTGCAAGTTTCTGGAAGAATATAGACTTTCACTCTTCTTGCTTATATACCTAGGAGTAGGATTACTGCGTCATATGGTAACTCTATGTTTAACCAGCTGAGGAACCATCAGAACTGTTTTACAAAGGCACTATATAATTTTATATTCCCATTGATAATGTGAGTTATAATTTTTTCACATCTTCAAAAATTCTTTCTAGTCATGCCATCCTCATAGTTATATCTCATTACAATAAAACATTTTTAAAGAAGCCAATACACAAATAGAATAATAGAGTTGGAAAGGTTACCTATTCATTCATTCATTCATTCATTCATATATATACACATACATATATATATATATACAATTACATATGGATTTTTCTAGGACTTTACTAACCAAGTTTGGAAGTTGGTTCTAAGTCAATTCAAAGAAAGAAAGAACAAGTTCTCAAAATAGCAATTCAATAAATGTGTCAAAATAATTGATTTTCAAAAACATTTTTAAAAGCCTACGAAGATGGTAAGGCACTAAGTGTTGGTTTTTGAGGTCTTAGGACTCTGCCCCCAAACCATCTCCCTTTATTCTATCCCTCAGCTTTCCTTCTTCCAGGTCCCAGATTAGGCTACAGATAACTCTCACTGGCTTCTCTTCTTGCCCAGCTCTTCCTTTATTTCAGGGGAGCCTTGCCTCGATTGACCCAGTATGATGAAGACTATGAACTCTGTCACAGAATACTTTTAAATGCATAAAATATAGTAAAAAAATAATAACATCGAAACCATTATTCAGCAGAGGAGCAAGCTAAGCATTTGAAAATTCTGCTATAAGAACAAAGAAGAATTTGTCAGTCTTTCACATAAATTGCTACAAGCTTTATATATCTTCTTAAATTTTCAGTTTTTATTATATCTGCAAATTTAGAGAATTTATTCTGATGTGGCAAAACAGAAAATGACTAAAAGATGAGATATAAATTAGTGTATAATGAAACTATACCCAAAAGTTTTGTTTTGTTTTGTTTTTTGTCTTTTTCCTTTTTATCGGTACCGGGGATCAAACTCACGACTGCCTGCTTGCAAGGCAGGTGCTTATGCCACTGAGCTAAATCCCCAGCCCCCCAAGAGGTTTTTATACATTGAGTATACTCAAGAGGGTATATCTTTCTCTATATTGTATATATTCTACGTACAATATATCCATTGATAATATAAATATATTCATAAAAATGAGTATGGTCACTGAAAATGCATATATTCATGTTCATCAAATATAGTAATAGAAATAAAATAACTAGTCAAAGTTTTGGTCATTAGCAAGTTTTGTTAGATGCAATCTGGTCCACTCCTAAAAGTACTCTTAATTAAATATACAACAGATCACAGCAGAGTTGTGCAAAGTCCCCATAAGAGAACTCTAGATTTCCAACCACAGCTAGATATCACAGGACACATTAAGGCAAAAGAAGCCTTAGGCAAAAAACGCAGCACTCCATGCACCAGTAGTGGCCATGCCAGCTGAGGTGAACCAGGAAGGAACGTATGTAGCCTCTTGTGTGCCAACAGTGGCCCTGCCAGCCTGGAAAAACCAGGAAGGAAAGTACATAGCTACCTGTGCACGGGTGGCAGCTCTGTTGGCTGGGAAGAACCAGAAAAGAGGTCATGCCCGCCTCCTGTGTGACAGTCAGCGTGAGGGCTGGGAGAAAACTTCCTCCCTGTCCCCTATAAGCAACTGGCTGATTCATAGAAAAATAGGCTGAGATGATAACAACTAAAGTATAGATATGACCTAATCCTTGTACTATTTGACTTTGCAAGCCTAAATCCTGTAGTGTGAGCAGCTATCAAGAGGATAACAATATGTAATATGGTAACTGTTGTGGATTTCCTACATCACTGTTTCATTTTAGTTCAGTTTATTGTTGTTTTATTCTCTTTAATATATACGTATAATATATATATATACGTATAATATATACATATATATATGTATATAACCATAAGATGATTTTATGAGGAAAGCTGTATAAAAACAGGTTCATGAAGGAAGTATGGAGGTACTATCCAGTTTTGTTATGGAGATTGATTCATAAACACCCAGAGCCAGAAATGAACACTCAAATTCAGAGAACCGCTTTGATTTTCATGTTCACAAATTCACCTTGAGATAATATGATTCCACTAGTTTTCACATGGAGAGAAGCAAGACTGGTGTGAAGATGGTGGATTGAGAGATAGCAGGGTAGAGAGCCTCTCTGAGAAAAACAACTCGATGCTAGAATTTAACATCATGGAGAAGACCAGATGAAAGGAGAGCGATTCTCACAACTCAGGAAGAAATTGAGGAAAAAGAAAAAGGAAGGAAGGAAAACCGTGGACGAAAGGCTGGAACCAGATGCATTCTCACTGGAGCTGGTCCAGCGCTGTGCTGGGCACGTCTTGGAATCTGATGACTCACGGTCCTGCTGAAGTCACAGTAGTGCTGAAATTGGGGGTTGGTAAGCCCAAGGCCCTTAGCGGGAGGATGCGGCATAATGGAGAACAGAACCAATGTGGAGAGCTGCATTAACCTGTGGTGAGTGCTAGGAATTTGGTCCCATGGAGGGGGTGACCGGCTGGACAACATTTTGGAGTTGGGCAGGATGGGCCTGAACCTGGAACCGCAGCGGCATCAGTTGGCTGCTCCTGGCCCAAAGAGGACTGAAGGGATCTGCTTGAGCTGGGTCACGCCCCTGGCCCGCACCCAATAACCAGGACAAAAGTGTCCCAAGCCTGTGACGTCCACATGGCACAGACTAATGTGGTGAAGGCACTTGCTGGTTGGCTGGCTCAGAAGAGAGGGGCCAACCCATATTGTACTTGCATGCACTCACAGATCAACAATAAACTGGAGAGGGCAGCAATCCCCTAGCCAGCATGCTTCAGAAAACCATAAGCAATACAGAAGGGGCCTGAGACCTCCACCACAGACCTGTCTGAAAGAAACCAGAAACATGGCAAGAGAAAAAGCCTCCAGCTGCTGACCCAGGGAAAAAAGTCCAGGGAGAAGAGATTGAGGGCAGCAAACATGCACTATCAGACACAGCATCATAAAGAAGTATCTTCGTGACCTCATAGATGAACTTAAAACTGAAAATCTAATTCAAGTGAGGCAAGATATAAAAAGATTAATAAAAGAAATGCTAAGCACCTCTCAAGAAGGCACAGATGGAAGAATGGAGGAACCCAGGAAAAGGAGAGAAACCTTTGATGAAGAATATAAACAAAATCTAGAATACATGAAACAGATCCAAAGAGATTATCAAGAAATTAAAAACTCCATTGAAAGCTGGCAAAATTCCTTGTTAATTCTGGCAAAATTTGAAGAAAGATTTGCAGTGTGTGATTGTGAAAGGAAAGATCCCTTAAAAATAACAAGGAATCAGGGAGTAACAATGCAAAGGCTAGAAGATGACAAGGGGATCTATAACTTAAGAATAAAAAACATGAGCATAGAAG